CTTTAAGCTCCCCCCTAAGTAACCAATGGGTGATGTCACTGAAGGTTTTTCATGTTTATTTTACAATCTATCAGCCAAGCAACATACTCAACTATTTAAACAAGAAGCCATTGTGTGAGCGCAAAAAAATGTAGTTCCTCGAGTGGCCACTTGAGGCTTGCTCCAAAAGTTAGTCAATCCTCATTTGACCCCGTATTAAAATGTTAAACTTTACAGCAAAATGAAACACATTTACAGCATGTTACACAAAATGTATGTATAGATATTTTGTCATGTTGATTTATTCATGAATCAGGATTGTTGTTAGGTTTTTCAAAATGAGAAAGAAAACAAGGTTCAGTTGAGTACTTCAAAATTATTCTGTCCCAGGTTAAATCTAAGAAAATCAAAATTTGAGTGATCTTGTAACTGGTCGACTTCAACTCCTTCCCTCTGATTGGCTGAGCCACTTCAAGTCTATTTTAAGTACCTGATTATAAACGCTGGCCCTTCATCCTGATAAATCAGACAAACATTACAGGCTATAAACGGGATCACCCTAGCGCCACAGGAAATGAGATGAATGGTATGGAAGAGGAGAGCCAGGAAGACATCTGGACCAAATACATCTCTGCTTTGTCTTCATAACCGAGGAACAATAACTTCAGAGTGCAGGCCAACGTAGAGCACAAGGATGAGTGTTTTAATAGCAGCCACAAGCTACAATATGTGAACTAATCACAGAAATGATTTCCACCTGCTCTTAAAGAAAGATACCTGGATGTAATCCTATCCAACACAGAGGTGCTCTGGGTATTTCTGGCTAATGTTTGTCATATTAAAGAACCAAAAAAAGCCAGATAATACACTAGATCTGAACTGCCATCATGGAGCCTGAAAGTAAAAAATTAATGGATGCAAAGTTTTTTTGACAGGGTGATTCTGATTCTGACGATGTTAAGACAATAATAAAAAAAGGCCGTCCTGTCCTTGATGTTTGTTTTGCTTGGACTGGACAGAATGATCAAACCTCCTCTCCATAATGGATTCTAATACGGAGAGATGAGAAGATAAATGTGGACGGAAGAATGTCAGTAATTTAGTCTGTTGATAACAAAGAAGAGAAAACTCCCTGGGACTACTTAATAACTCAGTCTGACTGGAAACCATGGGACCAGGCTTACTTTGCAGGAAAAAAAAAAAAGATTCTGAAGATCTCACTAAACAGACGAACTCCGGCCGCTTCAAAAACTAAAACACAGGAAGCAAAAAGGAAAACAATCAGCTCCCCGAGCGTAGAGATGCAGGATGTGTTTGGCAGCTCCGGTGCTGTAAAGAAAAGTTAAAACCAGATCAGGCTCAGACGGATTAGTGAGAGGAGATTTCTTCTTAAAGCCGGGTTTTAAATTCTGACATGTCAGTGCTTTTTTTCTCTCTCTCGATGTTTACAGTGCAGATAACCTCCAGGACAAACAGGCGACGCTTTCTCCTCCAGAGGTGTGAACGTGGGGCTAACGGGGGAGATGGTTCAGTATGGGGAAGAGGTGACAAGTGTGTGTTTGGTTTGGGGGGGGGTTATGGCAAGGCAGGATGGCAGGAGGGGGTGCTGGGTAAAATAACGAGCTAGAGGAGGAAGAGGACGGTGTGTGGTGAGGTGGAGGCGTGGGGGTCGGGAGGACCAGACCGGATGAGATGAGGCTAATTTGTAAATCTTGTTTGTCAGTGGAAGTGCTTTTGCTGCCAGCCATAAATAGTAGACATGGTATCTCAGTTATTCAATCAAACTTTATTCATATCGCAGCTTACAGACAAACTCAGATGCAGTTTAAAAGGTTTGTTAAAAATGATTCAGGGATGAATTCACCCCAGGAAGAATTCAGTCAAACCTGTTTCTTTTTGTTCTTCTGCAGCGGCAATAAGCTGCTTTAGTTCTCCGCTTGCTGTGAGTCAACATTTGACTGTCTGCACGCCACCTCTACCATCTCCGTGCTCTAATGAACCTGCTGCTGCATGTTTCCTGTTCTCCAGTTTGTTCTTCTCCACTCTTTTCTTCAGATTGTGAGTCTGTTGAACTACACGTAGCATTGATACAAAGACAAATATTCTCATTATAGCATCGTATAGTGGACTCTGTTCTTACGTCTGCTACTTTCATGTCTTGCTTCAGGAGACCCCCCCTACCTCACCCCTCCTGTCTGACAGGGTTAGCCTCCTGCATAATGTGAACAACCAGGTCAGGAGGATTTCAGGGGCCGTACTCCTGAGAGTCTCTAAAGATTTTAAGAAATGCATGCAACAGCTTTTAGAGTCAGACATCACATTCACCATCAGCTTCTTCTTCTTCTCTCTCTCTCTCGTGTTTCATCTTGAGATGTCTGATAAGTTGTTTTTCATCATGTATATCCTGTGTCATGTGGATGTATGGATAAGCCAAGGAATCATCTATTTATCTTCGTTCCTCCATTGAGGTTAAATCAGTCTTGATGTTGGAGAGGTTATCTGGGATGATTTAGGAATGATTCTGGAAATGTATGAAAGAAAGAACAGATGTTTGAGTTAACATGTCGTGGTTAAAAGTTAAAGGTTGTTGAGAATGAAACACCAATGTGGAGTTACTGTATGTGATAATAATAATAATAATAATCTTTATTTATAGAGCACTTTTCAAAAACAAGTTACAAAGTGCTTTACAAGGACAGCAAATATAAAAACAGGCAGGTCATAGAAAAATAAACAAGGCAAGATTAAGGAATAAAAAATCCCTTTTAAAAAAGAACTGTAAAGCACATACAATTCTTTTAAAGGAATTCTAAAAAGTGAAAATAGTAACAATTTAAAATCAACAAAAATCAGGAAGGGCTCGCCGGAAGAAGTGTGTCTTAAGTGTACTGAAAACTTTACATAATGTTTGTTAAGTTGGTTTCCTCTAATAAGTATCGGCTTTTATAGAGAAGGAATAAGTCAAAACAGACTCAGGTGACGGATCAAAACAACTAAAAAACATCTGGTGTCATTTCAAATCATTAACATCTATTTCTGTGAGAAACAACACGTCGTCCTCCTCCTCGTCACAGCCTCTCTGCAGCAGGTGCTGTGTGACTGCAGCTCTGCTTTCCATTATGAAGCAGCGCTCTTCAGACGCTCACGTGCAAACACTGAGCTGAAGCCAAAAGAGACCCAAACACAAACATGTGCTGATAGTTTCCATCTTTAAGGAGGCCGCAAAGCTGCAAGATGTGAACCCGTTTTCTTTGTGTAATAATGTGAAAATCTTTGAGATATTTTGTTGTTCTTTCCCCGGTAACAGACAGAAGTTTTGTAGATTGTTGAGCTGGAGTTTGATAAAGTTTTCTCTCATGTTGCTCTGTTGTCGGTTTGATGGTTATTGGAGAAGCAGCATGAGCTCATTGTGTGTGATACTGTGCGTAGGCGTGTGTGTGTGTGTGTGTGTGTGTGTGTGTGTGTGTGTGTGTGTGTGTGCTTATTTTCTCAGGTTACCGTTGTGTTTGCGTTGTCTGAGCTGGCAGGGGTCCGTGCAGCTGGGGGATCTTGCGGTTTGAGACGACCCAGAGCTTCTTTCACTTTATTATCCGGCTCTGCGCGGCGCTCCTTCTGATCTGCTCCCATCAGGGTTTTTTTTTTTCATTCTTCCTCCGGGCGTCCTCCTCACACCTGCATGGAAACAGAGGCGGAGGAGACCCCGTGGAGCTGGGATTTTGTTTTTACTAGTTACACAGCAGTCTGCTGCGTCTGGGTTGTGGAGTGTGTCATCACCTCTCAGTGAAGTCTTTAAGGAGGCAGTTTGTTGTGATGGTTGGAGCAGCTCGGGGTCATCAGGAATGTGGGAGAGAGAGGGACCTGCAGCATGTGGAGGAGAGGCCCCTGTGAGGGGGGGGAGACACGGTTACAGATCGGCTCAGGAATGTCTGTCACTGCCTCAAACTCTGACCCAAACTTTCTGAACCCGTTATGATGGGATTAATATTCCAGCGGCTGTAGCCTTCTTATGTTTTGAAGCATTACAGTAAGTTTTTTCAGCATGTGTCTTAACAGCGAGCTGGTTCACGGCCCTGCAGCACCACCTGCTGCATGTTGAAGATGTTGCAAAGACAAACCCAGAGTCTTTTGGTCCTTTGAACAGAAGTTGAATTATAGAGTATCAAACCATGCTTCCTGTTTCCGCACAGTGAAAATGCAACTGTAGAAGTGTTTGAAAGTGATTCTGTACTGGGCGCGTTAAGTAGTGGTTTCTCAACTGGTCTGGCCGAAGGACCCACCACCAACTCCTTCATGGAAATCTTGACCCACATGTGTGATGTTTTTTCAACCAATCAGATTTATTGAATGAAGAATAGAGCAGTTTGGACCTGAGATGGTACGGAAACATGTGATGGAAAACCAACATTTTTTTAAGAGCGCTTCATAGACTTTTTGACACTTCACAGTCACATCTTTGCGACCCACTGAAAACGGCTCTGCGACCCACTTTTGGGTCCCGACCCTCCAGTTGAGAACCACTGGCAAAGAGGATTATTGTCTTTCAAGATATTCGACCTGGGATCGGGATCGTTTCATGCTATGGTAGCGTTTTTTTCCGACAGAACACTGACTTACGCTGGAAGCCCTGAAAGGTGAGCCGCTCCCCTGGGATACCATGAAGTCATATCTGATGCGTTCAGGGACTAATCATACAATGACATGACATTTTTTTCTTTTACACCTTTTCAAGCTCTCATGAACCCACAACCTGCATGCCAGTTCGTTCTCAGAGGCAATGAGAGTTCAGATTCAGTTTTGCATTGATTAACATCTTCACCTGACTTCTTATCATGTCACCTTTTGTTACACTCGGTGAAGCTCCAGACCGTGAAAGAAGATTCCTGCTGGGTACCTTAAACTTGATTCAGCCGAGTTATTAAGATGCTGTGTGATGATTAAAGTCATTGTTGTGCAGAGAAACTTTAAGTTATGACCAACATGTTCACAGCACAGGTATGAGATCTTACCTGTTTTAGTTTATCTCTGAATCAAACTGGACGCGTTACAGTACCACCCACCTTCTTCTGTTAGTTTCCACTCACTGATCCAAACACCACAAAGCTGCGACCTCCGTCCACCATGAAGCTGCTGCTGACTCTCTGTCTCGCCTGCTCGCTGCTGAGCACAGGTAACTCCCTGCTTCTGATCCCTCCTTTGACTTATCTGCATCCTGTGCTAGAACAAAAAGGTTTAACTGCTTTCTACATGTTTAGGACTGTAACTGGGAGTTTAATTTTCAGGCAGGTGTTTCTTGATGATGATTGATGGAGTTTGATTCGACTTTTTAAAAACCCAAGCTAAATCATAACTCTACAATTCTACAATTCACTTATCAGACTCTTTTATCCAAAGCGACGTACATCAGAGAGTAAGAACAACACAAGCAAGGATCTAGAAAAAAGGGAACAATGTGAGTAAGAGCAAACGATCAGCTTTGAGTCTGATTGGACACACAGGTGCTGACAGGAAGTGACCAGAGGCAAAGCACAACATTGAGGGCAGTTCTTGAGAGCTCTAATCAGTATAGAAACCATCTTATAAGTCGTCGTTATCAAACAAAAACCATCGTCATTACCATCATCATCATCAATAATATGGAGACCATCATCATTAAGTTAGTAGGTATTCATGAAAGAACTGGGTCTTTAGCTTTTTCTCAAAGTAAGTTTCGATTCACCCACCTAGCTGACAAGACCTTCCTAGTTTTCAGATCAGAGCTTGTTCTCTCTCTGAGCTTGTTCACTCTGCTTTAAATATGAGGATACAAACACAGAGAGGAGCAGACTCTGACTTGATAGAAACATGTTGCTAACGTCGTTTAGAGTCTGTCTTTGGTGTGTTGTGGGTCAGCTGGATCGTGTTTGTGTTTCAGCCGAGTCGCTGCGCTGCCACATGTGTGACAACGACGACTGCTCCAACTCGACCTCGGTCACCTGTCCCGCCCTCTCAGCCTGCAGAACCATCACTTCCTGTGGGTGCAAGCTCCTTCAAAACGTCACAACAAATAGTGAATTATCAGATTTAGTGTTTGTGAATCATTTAACTTTTAACATTTAACTCCCTTTTTCTTTAGTGAGGCAGACAGGTCCATTGATGAGCGTGTCTGTGAATAAAAGCTGCTCCTCGCTGCTCTCCTGCTTCCCTCCTCTCAACACTCAAGTTGAATGGTCCGTCAATGTGGGGGTTGCTAAAGAAGGTCACCATCAGCTCTGCTGCACCACAGACAACTGCAACTTCCCGACTCTGGCCGGTAAGATCTGCTCGTTTCAATATTATCTTCTGATGTCTCGTCAGTGTGGGGACCTTAAAAGAAGACATATCGTCCCCCTCCTCCACCTTTTAAACAGTCCCCCTGTGGACTAAATGAAACATCTTTGCTGTGCTTTGGTCAAAATATAACATGAATCAAGCACCAGAGGAGGTTTGTGACCCTGTATAAACCAGCTCTCTCAGAACGCTCCGTTTTGGTGTGTGTGTCTCTTTAAATGCAATGACCCCGCCCCCTGAGTTTTCCTGGTAGACGTCACTCCTCTGTAGTGAGAATAAAAATGGCCGACCTGGGTTAAAAGTTTTGCTCTAGTCTGGGGGTGGAGTCCATGGGTGGAGATACCAGGGGAGGGGAGGTTTTTTCTTTTTTTTTTTTTTTTTACCAGAATCCCACTGTGACATCACAAGGAGAGCACATTTGAAACAGAGCATTTTTCTCTGTGTTGCAAGACTTATGCAGACCACAAACAAAGGACTGGATGGGTTTATTTAATATGTTGTGGGTCAGTAGACTCTCAGGTTACCCAAATATATGTTCAGAAACACTGAAGAAGTGGATTTTTCAGAATATGGCCCCTTTAAGAATCTTGTAATGTTGCACAGCTGTGTTAGAGATTTGGAGATCTAGCTAGTTGGATCTCTCTTGCAAGAAAAAGAGATGTTTGTGTGCTGCTGTGTGTGTGGATGTACGACTCAACCTGACTTATAATTCAGCGTACGTTTATGATAACCGTTTTCCTCCCCTCCTTCTTTCCAGTTCCAAACACTCTAGCGAACGGTAAGCAGTGTCCTGCGTGCGGGAGCCTCGCTGAGAGCCTGAACGGGACCTGTAACTCCACCCTGTCCTGTCAGGGAGTCGAGGACCGCTGCTTCAACGGCACCAGTGAGTTCCTCCCTGAAAATGACCTTCTCATCTTTTAGACGTTAAGTCATGCTCAGAGGATGTTCATTCAGCCTCTCATGTGAAGTACAGAACAACCACCAGAGGGCGCTGTGTCTTCTTAGTTTGAATTAGGATAAACACCATGCATCATCATCTCTTTGTTCCTTCTGAACAGCTGATCACACGCCATCAGATAACAAACCTCTTCACCGTTTCCTGCAGGGACGTCAAACTCCACTCAGTTTCTGCTCCTCGGCTGCATCTCCGACAACCTCTGCAGCCTCCAGGCCACGTTCGGCTCTCTGATCGGGGGAAACATGCAGATCACCTGTGGAGCTCCCCGCGGCGTCGTGATGAGCGCCGTGCTGCTGACCTTTGCTGTCGCAGCTCATAAAGTCCTGCTTTAGATTTTAAACATGTTTACGCACACATGTTAACCAACACAAGGCTGAGCGGAGTTCAGTGTTTCATAACAGTGTAACATCGACAACATGTGCAGGTACAACAGGCTGAACCACATACAGATGTTATCACACACACACACACACACACACACACACACACACACACACACACACACACACACACACACACACACACACACACACACAGAGGGGGCGTGGTCAGACACAGCTCATTTACATATTTAAAGTTACAGACACAGAAACACTGTGTAAACATGTAGTGTGGATCAAAATGAAATCAAAGCAGCATGACAGAAAAAATAAAGATGTTGTCCAAAAAAGACAGAATAATGATCGTAAGTGTGTTCATGCCATGAAGCCAGTTTGCATGCTCTCTTACAAAGCTAGATCATAATAGTGATTTATTTAATTAGTTCATTGATATCCTTAATGATTCTTTTGTTCATTTATAATTTGTCCCAAATAACAGCAGGGTCATTTTCATGGACTGAAGTAAATAAAAGCCCGGGCTATTAATACTTTTAGTTCTACAGTAAATAAAGCAAATCGTGGACTGTATTTAATGTATAAATGGAGTGTGTGTGTCCAGAGCTGAATATAGGCCAGTGGAGCCAACGTGACTCACGTCTGAGGAGTGGACACACACAGAGCACAAACACACACAACCCCCCTCATTCAAAACCACTGACACAGCAAATTAGAGCTGCTGTGGTGAGAGAGAGAGAGAGAGAGAGAGAGGGAGCGAGGGAGTCCAGCAGGGACTCGTTTGACACTCATACAGAGAAAATGTCCTCGCTGCATGTTTATCGAGTTAATCACAGTAAGACAGTGAAGGTGCTTTAAAAAAGAGCGACGTTAAGACTCTCAGGTCAAAAACATCCGCTAGAAAAACATGCTCATGCTGCTTATAACACTCGTCCAGACTCAAATCCCAACATCCCAGTGATATGTTTCATAGATTACCAGTATAAAGCTTTCATTTTAATGTTTAAACTTTAATTTATATAAGTGGTAACATGCATCATTCTTACAGGAGAAAAAGAAGAAAAACTGCAATTCCTTGAGTGTCCACTAGGGACTCGCTTCCACAGTGAGTCACTCTCCATCTTAAAAATCCAACCTGGGGGGCCAGGTAGCGTAGTGGTTTTGCATCCTATGTACGGAGGCTGCAGCGGCTGTGGGTTTGAATCCGACCTCGGCCCTTTACTGCGTGTCATCCGCCCGCCCTCTCCTCCAAACACTTACTCTCTCTCTTCAGCTATCTAAAAAAGTTCCAACTTCACATTAGAATAAAAACAGTCCAGTTTAAAAAACAAAAAGAAAAAAGTTGTTCAGATTTTTTACTTGATAGTTTTATCTTCAGCATGAACTAGTCTCTCTCTGCATCATCGTTATGCTCTGTAGAGCTCATGTGAGGAACTTTTGTTTTGCGTCGGTTTTGGTGCCCCCTTGTGGACAAAGCTGTGTGTCTTATGTCTTTTTTGATTTTGTCCTACATGTGGTTTTTAAAAAACATCTAATCCTGGTTTATTGTAGCAGAGTAATGCATCAAGAATCTTGTTTAAATGTCACTTTATGAAACAGATGATAAGAGGACTGCAGGCTGATCTTCATCCCTGGAAGTCTTCCTCCCCTCCCTCACCCTTTCCCTCTCTTTGTGTACTTAAATGGGGGAGGGGGGAGGCACACACACACACACACACACACACGGCAGCATCCACTGCTGATGTCAGACTCCAGTCATGTCGACCCTCCTCAGCACCATCAGCACCACCACCATCATCTTCATGGTTTTTCTTCACAGAGGTGAGTAACCCTGCTCCTCCATCCTCCTTCCTCTCTCTCTGTCTCCGCCGGTATCTCCCGTTTCTTCTCTTTCAATCCTCCGTTCACCGGGTTTTAAACGAGCTTTCCGTTTTCCCCTCGGCGGGTCAGGCAGGCTGGGTGATGTTTTGGTTGCGCAGCGGTGGATGCGGTCTGTGACAGCCTCAGCAGTGACGCTGTTACGAGCATTAGAAAGACACACCGGACTAAAAGAAATCACCGACATGAACATGACAGCGACGACACGAGAGACAAATGTCCCGCAGCTCTGAACCTCCTGCTCTGAATATTTAATGATTATTATTGTTTTTATTTACACTGATTTCATGTCTCCTGTTGTGATTGGCACCTCTGGATCTGACTGTCACAAACACATTTGGCACATTTTCATAGAGCAGCGAGTCGTATCAAAGCGTAGAAAGGGCAACGGTTACACGTGTTGCGTTCAGGTGTTGTCGGTTTTCTTAGCACACATCCACACTTGTCATGCAGCTTGTAGTTCCCTTCACTATAATCTACATAACATGATGTTACTTTAATAACAGCATGCACTGAATGATGGAACATGATATATTTTCTTTATTGTACTGCAGGCTGCAAGAACACGATGGTTTTTTTTTGTTTTATACTGTAAAAAAATAATTTACTATTTCTAATTAAAATAAGTAATGCTCTGTTTACTTGGATGATATTTAAAAGCAGTGTAGCATGTACAAACTTCATTTTCATTAATAAAAAATACCAAAACATGAAGTTATTTCAGTCAGTAGAGGATATCAGGGTCAGATTATTTGTTTTGTGAGCTAACAGTAACCTTAATAATGTATTTTAATTTAATAACTATAAAGATGAATAACAGCTTGATCTTAAAAAGATAAAGTGTAAGAGTTTGGCAGCAGTTTGTTAAACATGCTATTGCATCATTTTGCAGATTGGGATTATAGAGGAATCAGATTAAATTTAATCTCCAAACAGGACATTCAAAACTACGCTTTTCAGAATCACCACTTTGTATCTTTAAATGTTTTTTTTATCCAAACAGAAAAGCACTCACATGTTCACAACATCCTGCTTACTCAACAATCCTTCAGATATTTTCAGAAACTTTCAAAAAGCTTCTTAACCTTCCTGATGATTTCAAATGTTTCTCTAATTCTACAGTTTAGTGAGCAGACGCTTTTATCCAAAGTGACGAACATCAGAGAGTAAGAACAACACAAGCAAGGAGAGAGAGAGGAGGAAATAACATCAGGAAGTGCAAACAAACAGATTTAAGTCTGATTGGACACACAGGTGCTGACAGGAAGTGAGCAGAGGTAAAACACAACATGTTCTTTATCGTCTAATCAGAAACCATCCTAAATATCTTCATTAAGTCTGTAGGTGTTCATGAAAGATTTTCAAGTTGAAACTGTGTTGTCAGCAGTCGGCCATCTTTGTTCTGGTTTTATAAGAGTGAGGCTGTTTTCTGAGAGTCCTGGGAAACAATTCAAACAAAAAAGAATGAGCATTTATAGATCTGAGCTTTACAGACTGATCATTACTCAGTCGGGCCTTCCTGGAGAGGAGAACCTAAAGTCTGATTAACAGGTGAGTGAGGGAATATGGAGGCTTTTCATTCACTTTATAAAGATTTAGATTTCAAAGATGATCAAGATGTTTGTGGAGCGTGCCGTGTCCATTCATGGAGAATAAAATGTTTGATACTCAGATTATAAAAACTATGAACTCACATTTGACAAGAGAAGCATTTGCTATGTTTTTTGTCCTGCATTGTTGGATCAGTGAATCAGTTTTATGTCTGGATGTGTGAATGTTAAAAAACTGTATTAAGTGATGCAGAAAATGGGACTTTGATATGACATCGTCGACCTGTAAGGGGGATAAAAAGAAGAATGTGTGTGAAGGGTGATTGAAGACATTTGCAGGAAAGTTGTTCTGCTTTAAGAAAAAATTGCAATGTCATGCAAGTGTGGCTGATTCAGGGAACATGTGGTGAGAAGATGTGAGATGAATTTGTGGAGCTTTGAGGTGCTGACACTTTGTGTTGTTGCTGACACATTCACAAAGAATGCAACGACACAAAGACGTTTAACTTCACCACCAGCTGCGTTCCCCCCGTCACCTCGTCCCACTTCGGGTAATATTCAGGAGTTTAGTGCTCGTTGTCATTTCTGGATTCTTTTGTAAAAACCTTTTTGCAGACATTTCCTTTGGCTGCTCATTTTGTCACAGAAGTTGAAATGTAACACCTCGGCTCTCAGCTTTCTGCACAACTCGCCATCAGATGTCTCAAAGAATAATAAAATACCACGGCTGAAGTGAAGATTTTCAGGAAGCATTTTTCCCTGAAAATCCACCCGCCTTACCTTGAATTCAAGGCCTCAAACTGTCCTATCTCCTCGCTACATCTGAGGACTAAAACGAGCTGGAGGTGGGTGGTCTCCTCGCTCGCTCGCTCGCTCGTTCTTTGGGATATCAGCTGGATGAAGTCCAATGAGGTGAAGTTTATTTTACTTGTGTCGGGCTGAAGCAGCAGTCGAGTGTGTTTGCAGGAGGAAGAGGGAGATGAAGGGGCTTGGAGAGCACGTTTTGAGGTGGTGTTTGTGTGGGAGGAGACGATGACCTGCAACACTACAGAGTGTGAACACGAGTCCTGACAGCAAACACAGCAGGAAGGAAAAAAAACAGGGAATTAAAAGGTTTCTTAATCGTCCTGACATTCTCAGAATCATGATGAGGTCTGTCGATTAGGAAGAAGGATTCTTTTCATGAGAAAATATTCAATGTTTTATTTAAAACAGAGACTATGCACGTGTTTAAAACTGCATGTTTAAGTCCCCTAAAAAAATCCTGCACAGTTAAAGAAATGTGCTAAGAGGGCATGTGTATTATCTGGAAGGCATACGGTGGCCAACAGGGGCCAAAAGCTGCAACTTTAAACATCCTACATAGTGAGAAACTACGCTACTGAAACAGCAGACAACTCGTTTAAAACTGTGATGTTGTAGAAGTTCTGCTGCAGGCGGGGCGCAGGTGGCCTAGCGGTTAGTTTGCACGCCACATGGACAGAGGCTACAGTCCTCAAAGTGGGGCAACCCGGGTTCAAATCCGGCCCATGCCATTCCCACTCTCTCTCCCTCACTGATTTCTGACTTTCTGTAAAAAAAAAAAAAAAAAAGAAAGTTCTCCAGGCCTGCAGGGGGCGCTAAGCTAAGTTTTTGGAGTGAGCTGACGGGAGAACGCAGCGGGATGTAATCAGGGAGATTCAGACTTCACAGTGATGAGTGTTGGACTGAATCCTCTTTCA